TCTATGAATTCGTAAATAGAATTCGTAAATTCGCATTTTATCGTATTTTTGCCAATTTACGAATTCGTACACGAATTCTTAGGGACCAAAATGATCATTTCACGAATTCGTCGATAGTCGACCAATTCGATTTACGAATTCGTAGGTACCGGAAATTTCTTTCTTATGAATTCGTCCTAATTTACGAATTGGCAAAAGGAAAAAAGGACGCAATTTTTTGGTTCGTTTTTAATCATTTTTGTTAGTTCGCATCACTTCGCATTGAATTACGAATTCGCTGCGAATTCGCAAAACAATGGTAAAATGCGAATTGTTGCATCATTTTTACGTCCAAAAATTGCGATTCGTCAATTCGTCTTTAAACAAGTTGTAATGTGGAAAACCAGTTTTTCAGAAACTCTAAAAAATATTCAAAACCTTTCTTAATGAGGCATGATTGTAGTCCGTAAATTTCTGATTAAAATGAGACATCTCACAGCTCTAAATGATCTTTCTTTCCAAAGTTATAGAATTCACTCGAAAACCCATAAATTAATTTTTTCTTATTTCTGTAGCTATGAGCTGCCAATGAACATTTAGGGCTTTGTTTGTGATACATATATGCCGAAAAGTCAAGAAAACGCAAAATCAGAAACCAATAGTATGGCGACTATTCGAACCAATCAAAATCGAGTAGTCACCGTTTCTTCAGCTAGTCGGTATTCGGACTGCCTACCGACTAGTCGAAAAGTTTATCTTTATCTTTCGCCACCACCAATACAGTAGTATATATGAAAGACTAATTTCTTTGAAAAATTCAGAAAACTTTCTTTCTCGCATTGAAATTTGACGAGTGAAGAAAGATGAGGTTACGAAATCCTGAAGCTGCAATGAATTTTGAATTGTGTTTTGCTGCGTAGATGATCCGAAGCATCGTTCTACAATTCTGCGCAAGGCAGACCTCTATGTCTCTTATGGTTCTTACGTAGCAAGCATTTTCCTGAGACACTCATAATCCTACTGAGTGTTCGTCCAAGGTATGAAGTTTAGCTGTTATAAGGTTTCGAAAATCCAATGCCAATGAGTAGACGGTAATGTAACATGTATAGAGAACGGGACTTGAGCAACTAACTACTGGAACAAAATTTCAGAATTCGGCGAGAAAAACGAAGGGAGTTCATAGAATTTCCTGTAGGCTTTTCTTTGCAGAATCGCATCGAATGTCGATTCTGAAAATAAAAAGTAATTTCTCGCTCTTATCTCATCTCGCGGGATATTTCCCCATCACAGAGTTACATCAGATCCCAGATACATTATCTGATTGCAGTGTATTATGTTGAGATGGTAGTGTCGAAGGCAATGCAATTGGTATAAGTTTGAACAGTTATTAGTTTACTGATAAAAACTAGTGAGCTGTTCAAACCAGCTAGTAAATAAAAATTGTTCTTTCTTTTCTATCTGGTAAAGTATCCACTTTTTTATTATTATTAAAATGAATAGTTTTCTATACTGAGTTTTAGATGTAGAATCAGAAAAAAATAGTTTTGGGATATTAAAAAACGTGAAAAATATGAATATTTTACTCACTCTATAAACTTATTATCATTTTTACTTCTTCTCAAAAAATCAATATTTTGAAAGTTTTTCACAGGAAAATGGCTTCTAAAAAATTAAAATTCAGCTTTTTCGAGATAATTCAATAAGCTTTATCACACCGCACGAAACAAAGCCAAAAGAAAATTCGGCTGAAGTTTTGACTTTCCGGAAGCTGACATGTTCTTCAATTCGTCAGAATCAGGTTCCTCCTGTTAAGGGTTGAGTGAATGAAAAATGAATGTTACTTGTTATTTTAATTCAAAGTATTTATTGACATGATGCTCATTTGCTCATGGAGTAGAAGAAGATAAAGAAACAATAATACGTTTACGTAGGTTTCTTTTTTCTTGAATTAATCTATTTTCCTTTAAGTTTCTTCCTCTTTTGTTCAAATCAAATTTATAATTTATTAGTATTCTGTTTTTCTAGATTAGAACAACTTTTTCTCACTCTAAAGAGTCGAAAACTGAAATTGATCAGATTGATCTACAACGCTCTTACAGCTGAGTAGGATCGATTTGAAGCCGAAGTGATCTTTCAAAAATAAGCTCCATAAGTTGTTGATTTTCGGTTAGAAAATTGAGAATTTTTTTTTGTAAAAATCAATCGCAGGTTTTATGCGAAAAAGTGGTGACGTTTCTTTGAAAAACTGTAATTTTGTTTATGGAACTCTCCAAAGCTTTTTCAACACTGACCTGTTGAAAGTAGCTTTTTACCGTCTTATAGCATAACAACATCGTTTTTAGTGATCCATGAACATAAAGAGTCGGTTCAGCTATTCCACATTTTTTCCTAATCTCCCTGGGAAGTTAGTAGCACCAGAATTAAATACATTGACATTGAGTATCGGCAAACTCTGTGTTCAATCCATATAGTTCCACTTTGGTATCAAATGGTCTTTCAATGTACATAACCCATTTCAATATTTGTTCATTACTTCGAACGCAAAATTCATCTCGCAATGGTTCTGTTGGATGACGATAATAAATTGTGTCAAAAGTCTGATGCCATGCATCTGTATTTGATACATTGTCTAATTCGTTATTTTCGATTTCAAGTACACGACCCATAAGAATTTCAGCACATATGACAGCACCATCTCGTCTTGCTTTAAATTGGGTATGATAACTTGAACGAGCGAAATAAATACCAAAACCTAACATTTGCGGGATAGTTCTGCTTGGATTAAAATCTGTGTAAGCAATACTAACAGCTGCTACAGCATTTGTACGATGAAAACCAATGTATGTAGTAGTTAATGGATCTTTGTTCGGAACATCAGACCAACGTGGCGTAGGTGTATGTGTATTAAAATGAAATATCATAATATGTTCCAATGTTCGATCAAGACAATGTTGTTGTAATTCACATGGTTCATTCCATAATTGAATTTCATTACGATTTTCACCCATTAAATGATATGGAATAAAACGTCGATGTTTCTTTAAATAACGTCTACAAAATGGATTTTGATCACATGATGGTACATAATACCACCAAACACGATAATGATAATAATCTAATAATAAAGTCAGTATTGGTGATGGAAATGTAATAGCACAAATCCATGATAATTTTTGTGTTTGATTAAACAATTCTTGATTATTGTATGTTGGTGCTGTTGCATATAGAATAATAGCTAACAAACGCAGACCAATACTAATGGTAATAAATAGAAAACGTACAAGGAAACGCCATTTTGGACGTGCTATGTAACATGGACAATTACAATTGAATAAAAGAAAACGTTGAATGGGTTTATTAGCTATTAGATATCGTAAATGACAATTGGTACGTGGTTGATGATGACCCGTACGACACAGACGTAAAAGTCGATAACCAAGCCAAAGAAAAATGAATGCGATAAATAAACCCATCATAGTTGGAATCAATGAGCTAATCCAATCGATAATAAAACCAGCTAAAATCTGAGGAACTTCTGGAAGTTGCGGTACAACTGTGATTGTTATCATAGTTGTTTGATTATTGGACGCAGGATTCCAATTAGAATTAGGCGATTTATTAGAATTATTATTGTTAAAAAATATTGCAAGTCGAATAATACCACATATAACTTCATAAACAGCAAGTAGACCATGCAGTATGGGTAATGAGTTATAAAAACAACGGCACATTATTCTTTGTTCCTTCTTTTTTTTCTTTTACTATACCATTGAAATCATAATTCTGTCAGAAAGGTAGTTAAGCAAAAGCATTTTAACTTTTTCTTCTTTTATATTTATTTCTTTATACACCATTTCACAACCTTTTTTTAATGACAGAAAGAGAAAAATAACAGTTATATTTTTGTATAATTTTCTCCACTCAATTTCAAGACTAGAAGAAGTAAAGTTATATGCCGGATCCCTAGTAAATTAGCTGATCTTTACTCCAGCTCCACCTCCTGGAGAGTAAGCGTCTTAATTTTCGAGAGAGCCATAGAGCAGGCTTTTTTTATTCATTTCGTGCTTTCGTGTCGAGATGTTATTCTCTCAAAGAACAAAGAATGAAAAAAAAAAGAAAATTCCAACTTAATAAAATGAATTTCTAACAATATCGTCCAAAACACAAAAAATAGTAAAATGACGTCGATACGACTACAAACACTTGAAAAAAATCATAATTACTTTTTAATCAAGAGGTAGACAAGAAAAATGAAACAGTTTGTCTTTCAAATCTTGTTCACTAAATAGTTACTTCATTTTACAATATTGAAAAACATATTATGCCTATTTTCTCTCTCTTCTTTACGAAATATATTAAGCAATAGAGAAAAACGACTGTGTAAAACAGATTATGTATCAGGAATCGTCGTTGGACAGGAATCTCATGGGATCCCGTCGGATACTACGCGACGAGACGAAACTTTTACAGTGTGTGTCAGACTGGACAGGACACGATAAACAAGACGTAAGAGGAGATGGAATCATATCACCGGAAAAAAAATAAAGTTGGTTTAGAGTTGTTGAAAAGTGGTTTTTCGTACTCAGCACACTCGATAACGCAGAAGATTTTCTGTTTTTGATCCGAGGTACTTCCGAAAGTTTAGGAAACGTTTTCAAATTAATATTATTTTTCCATGGAAAACTTTTTGCGCTATTTTGTTTCAAAATTTTTCTTAAACTTTCGGAAGTACCCCGGGCCAAAAATAGAAAATCTTCTGGGTTATCGAGTGTGATGAATAGGAAAAATCACTTTTCGGCAACTCTAAACCAACTTTATTTTTTTTTGTTCCGGTGATATGAGGATGAAAGTTTTGAAACTATAGATAGGACGGGACACAAATTTCAGTGATCTATATTCTATTTTGTTCTACTGTTCATGCAAAAACCCAGTGGCCTCGATTGTTTTTTGAGTAACTTTGGATAAATAATTGATAGAAATCTGCAGTTTTCAGTTTATGAAACTAGACACTTGAAGCTACATTTATAAGCACAATCGATATTCGAAAAACTTTTCGAAACCGGTTTTTCAGGAGATCTTTGGAAAATCAGTTTTTCTCTATTGCTTAATATATTTCGTAAAGAAGAGAGAGAAAATAGGCATGATATATTTTTCAATATTGTAAAATAAAGTAACTATTTAGTGAACAAGTTTTGAAAGACAAACTGTTTCATTTTTCTTGTCTACCTCTTGATTAAAAAGTAATTATGATTTTTTTCAAGTGTTTATAGTCGTATCGACGTCATTTTACTATTTTTATGTTTTGGACGATATTGTTAGAAATTCATTTTATTAAGTTGGAATTTTCTTTTTTTTTTCATTCTTTGTTCTTTGAGAGAATAACATCTCGACACGAAAGCACGAAATGAATAAAAAAAGTTTGCTCTATGGCTCTCTCGGAAATTCAGATGCTTACTCCCCAGGAGGTGGAGCTGGAGTAAAGATCGAAAAAATATACTAGGGACACCAGTATATTGTTAGGAGGTGTTCAGTAATAGTTTTCTTATGCGAGATGCTTTTACTGTACTTGTTTGTTTCGTTTGTTTACAGCACATGTTATGATATGATGGCATACGAAGATCATATGTTTATGGTGACCTTTCTCTTTTTCTCTGTTCTATTGACGTCATTAGTGCGGCCAGTAGTAAATGACATATTCTTTCCCATTCTTCTTGTACGTCATGATCTAATGATGTTATGCTCTGACCCGTTCTTCTGAGGTCATTAGGTCCTTTTCTGATCGTTTCTCGGATGTTCGTTGATATGTATAAATAAAGTGAATAAGTTAGAGAATTACTTAAGGTAGTTCTACTACATACTACACTCTATAACACTAAAAGTTTCATATCTCGATAAAAACAAAGAATAAAAATCTGAAATGTTTTTTTAATTGTGCCTTCGGTATCATAGAAGATTTCAGCTTGTTTACTTATTGAATTATTGAATTTTTACTGGTTTAAGAAAATGCTCTAAAAGTACTTTATTTTTGTTCTGACTCAATTGCACGTGAACAGAATTTGATTATACATGTATCAATACGTGTTTTTCGAATTATAGTTGACCTGAGTGAGAAGATAATCAGAAAAATATACTCTTAAAATTTCCTGCAACCAGCTGTAGCCTTGGTATTTATAGCACAACTTGTGCCACCCATTTGACATATATGGCAAAAAAATGAGTTCTTAATTCCATGTAGTTTGGTCAGGAGATAGCTAAAAGGGGGTGGGACAAATTGTATGTCACAAGGCACTGGACGTCAATACCAATTACTCAAAAACGAAAAAAGCTGGTAACTTGCGGTTTCAATAATCTATAATACCTACTTTGGTGAACGTTTTCATAGAAAAACATTTGATTTAAAGTGCTTATTGGATGCGCAATAGACTCAAAAGGGGGTGGGTTTTTCACTTTTCGAGGGCCACAAATTAGTAGGCGAAACAGGGGTGTAGCTCCTCTCCTCATCCGTCTAACATACCCTCAAACTTTGCGAATTTGTAGAGGACACCTGCAAGGATTTACGTGTGCAATAATCCACGGGTCTGACAAGTCCTGGAGGCGAGATGAAATTTTTAAAAATTGAAAAAATCTATTTTCACAGCTATTTTGCGCCTACTGCAAAAAGTATATGTTGCGCAGTCGCACTCAACTTCTATCTAATAAAAATCTCATATTCGAAATCAGGATTAGACTGAGTCGAATGATGTGTATTTCGAAATATTTAGTTGATTTCCATTTTCTGTTGTCTCAATAATTTTTCAACGTGAGAATTCGACAAAAATCGAAGTTGTAGGATAGGATAGAAATACACATCATTTGACTCAGTCTTTGATCGTGATTCCGAATATGATATTATTATTACATAGAAGTTGAGTTCTGTTAGAGAAAATCGAAAATTACAAGCAGAATTCTGACTGGGACCTAGTTTATGGCCTAAAACTTTGTATCCACGCACTCTATACTAGAAGAAATTATGTCATCCGATAGAGATGAATGTAATGAACAACTTTCGCATTGTCATAAACTTTCTAAAATGCTTCCTTGACGCGGGCGACTACGCAAGAAATACTTTTTGCAGTAAACCCCCCCCCCCATAATAGAAGCCTCCCTCATATTAGAAGCCCCCCCGTATTAGAAGCCCCCTCTGGAGCAATCGATGTGGAAGGTGTATTAGAA